CAGCTGATCACTACTTAATCAATGTCAATGTGCCGAATACTACAGTTATTGGATGCTTCGCATCCAATAACTATTAAATACTGCATATCCTAATCTAATATAGCTTATTATACCCAGTGATGATAAATGACAAAGTCATAAAAATTTTTATGAAATTTGGCATAAATGACATGTTATTTAAATTAAAAATATCATTTATAAAAAAAAATTTATATAAATTTATGATAAAATAACAAGTCATAAAAAATAATTTTATAAATAACATAAAAATAACAAATAAATAACAATAATATTAACACTATTAAACTTCCAAAAACCAATCCAATCAAAATCGATAACCCGTAAATATGATAAAAAAAATTAATCTATTAAGTTTGTTTCTGCTATATAAATATAATTCATGTGATAGTGTTGAATGGCAGTTCGAATTTCAGTTTGAATAGCATTTGAATTATGCCATTTAATATATCGAAACTTTTAAATTTTCTAGTGAATCTGATAACTTCTTGATATCAATGCAAAACCTGTTCACAATGCATATCGGCTTTGAAAGTTTAGCAGTGCTAAAATTTACTAGCTTACTTCACTTTTGCAATCACAAATCACAAATTGCTCGATCGTGTGCAAGCTCCTACTTCTGTCAATCTTGATTTATAAGAGTTATCATTAGTTATTATTAACAATTCCAAATAGAGCAATTAATTAATCGAAACTTAACTTATCTGCAGTATGTGCCATCTCATGCGACTTTAGCTTATCTTCCCGCTTTATCTGGATTGATTGCCAATCTGATTTTCTGACTGGTTGCATGATTTCAGAAATTAGCAGGCATGTTCCCGCTTAGCCAGCTTTTCGATCTGTTGACTTACGTCAACTTGAATAAAAAAAAACCAACACTAAATAATGTATTTTATTGAATAGCTATAACAAATATTTAAAGAATCCTACTTCTATTATTGGCTAATAAAAATCATATAATCTATAAATGACAATATAGTCATCAAAAAATAAATGATTTTTTTTATGGCAAATATGACTTGTAAAATGACAAGATATCTTTTATTTTTAAATGACAAGTTATCATTATTGATCATAACTGTACTTTCCTAACTTTTAACAAAATTTTCTTGGAAATTTTTGAAGTTTTTGTGTAAGCATTTAATATTTAAAGTTTCTCTGCCATTTTATCAATAGATAGAATATGGAAAATAAACTTGGATTAAATACTACTATCACAATAGTTTTTATTAAAAATAGAAAAAGTACGAATTGTATTGAATATAAGCTTTTATTGTTATAAATATAAGTCACTCATTATAGTGAACTCTTGATATAGTTGAAATTTTATTAACGGAATGGATCACATCACTATAATGAGAGCGACTTGTACTGTTTATGATGAATTCATTTAATGCTATATATTCTATAAATTATAAAAATCTTATTCAAATCCGTATGAATGGTTAGCTAGGCCTGCTTTGTGTTTTGTTATGTTTGCATACTGGTTTGTAATGCTGTTTCAGGTTGTTTGTGAGAGTATAGTATTTGTAATAGTAGACTAGTTGGGTTAGGATGGCTATATGTAACCTCATCAGGATGTAATGCTGTTAGAAGCTCTCTAAGCGAGCTCCTTAGACTTAAAATAATTAATAAAAGCTGAATGCCAAACTTAGCGTATTTTCTAAAACAGGAGAAGATCCTCTAGTCCTTATGTTGAAATGACAAGTACAATACTTGATAATTTAAAAGTAAGATTCAATTGTTTAAGATATAATTTTGATACTTAAATCACAGCTTGCATGCGGCCTATTTCACATGATTGAAGATTCAAATATATAGAGTTATGCATCATAATAGTATAACAAATGACATCTGAAAAGTTTTAATAAAAAATATAAATTTACATGATTACTACAGTAAAAGGACAAAATCAAAGTTTACAATTAAAAAAAAACTATGTAACAATATATATCATTCCTATAAAAATTATTATTCAATTATTTTTTTCATTCTCTTCGTTTTCTGATCCCTTCTTTTTACAACAAGAATCTCTAATTGTAGTAATTAATTGTAATAAAATTACAAAGATTAACATAAAAACAAGCATAAATTGTAAAATACAAATAACTGTCTCAAGTGGTTGAATATTAACGAAAATTAAAGTAGTTAATAAAATTGAAACAAATAACCTTAAAACTGATGCGCAAATGTTTAAAATATTCATTAAGCTAGTTTTAAAAGGCCTAAATTGATTTAATAAAATTAATAAAACTAATTCAGTAACAATTAAACCAATCGCTTGAACTATTTTGTAATCTTGGGTTAACGCAGTAATAACCCCTCGAGAGAAATCATAAGAAATCACAACTACAAAAAACCAGATACGAGAATCTTTTATATCACTATCTTCTTTATATTGAGTATATAGCGCACCGTAAATAAATTTATGATCAGGCTTTTTAAATATATCAAGATCATTTTTATTTAGATCTGAAAGGACTCTCTTGCTGCAAAAGGCCATCACTCCGAGAGAAAATATTGCTATGCAAAGTCCAGCAAGTATAAGGAGTAGAAAGCAGTCATTGTAATGATATAATTGATAAGAAGCAAAGAGAGTTAAAGGATAATAAAAGAGGATCAACTGAATATACAAAAAATGTTAGTTACACTATGAATAAGTTCATATTAGATTATTACACAAATTTTTTGTAATTACCACACGTAACATTCCACCTGAAAATGCAAATATTAAAAATAAAAATTTATCAGTTAAAATAAAAAAAATTGAGATATGCAAATGCATAACTTACCAAGTATCAAAAAAAGACAATTGGAAGTAACCGTTTGTAAGATTTTCCATTTATCATATAAGCAAACACCATATCAAGCAATTACCCAAATGAATAATGTTATGCCAATTGCAAGTGCTAATGCAGAAAGAAAAGTTATGAACGCTAAGAAAAATAAATTATAAGATGAAACTGATAACGTTTTTGCGTATTTATCAAATCCAGAATTACAAATCCCAGTAGTTGATTCACAGGTCATAGACATCTTGCATATTGCGATCCTTATGCCATTATCAGCAACGCTGGCTAGATAGGCTAAATTAAAACTATTTGGTAAAGCACCTAACCAACTGAGTTTTGAAGCTAAACCTCGATAGAATTCCGAAAGGTTAGGTATAGAAATTAGTGCAGTTGTTATGAAAAACTGGGCTGCACGAAAGATATCATATACAGAAGGTGCTAATTTTACATCAAAAATTCTACAACACGGTGCACACGATTTTTCGGTACTATCTGTATTTACATCATAGTCGTTACCGGTTTTACTTGTGGATAAACCATGGTAATGGTTGTGTGCATTTGGCTTTTATACAAGACAGAAATAATTTAATAAAAATTATATAAAGTTTAATATTGACTAAGCATACATACCTTATCAACACTCTCAAATTTCGCAATTTTAGTTTTTG